TTTGAATTTCTTCGACAGTCGGTTGTCCCACGATAACTAAAAAAATGTTCTGAATTGATTGAATGATGTTTCAAATTCATTCGAGTACGTATAAATAAAATTTTTCTATTAACATTTTATCGAAGGGCTGAGGGGAGAGATAGAGCCGTAGAAAAGACAATCGGTTGTACAGAAGAATAATGATGATGGTAACACTCAACTAAGTTGAAAATCTGTCAAAATTAGTTGAAAAGAAATCTTATTCAATTTAATAAAATGAAATAAACCATGAATTATCCATGATAGAAGGAAATGATGTGCAAAATAACCGTTCGGCTATTACAAAAATAACTATACTACATGCAATACATTTTCCCGGGATAATTCCCGGGATTTCTATTTAATAATTTTAATAGAAAACCCTAATAGGAAATTTCAGCGAGCGATTTTTAACAGTGCAGTCCATAATGAGGGGATTAAAATCAATATTTTTATTCCTCCTCATCCACCCCGACTCAACTAAGAATCGTCCTGAATATGCGACACGGAAGAGAGACCAACGCCGAGAGTAAAATTTATGTGACCAGATTATATGAGGCAGTAAAAGTGAATTAAACTCGTTTTATATCGTTCCCGGGCATAATTTATTTATGAGAAAAAACCTCTGTAGTATCTATTATTCTTTCTCTCACTGGTAATATCTGGGTAATATCCTCAACTCGTGTCCACCGATTCTCCCCAGAATTACAAGCCCAGAATAAATAAATAAATGTATTTACATTTATTTCTACAGTTCATAACGGCGAGTTTTATGTGCCGAGGGTTATGAAAGGGAAAACCAGTTGTTATCAGGACGAGTGGACAAAAAGAGCATTAATATTTGGTAATGTATGACTCGTGTCCGTGTAGTTCATTAATTCCTCGCACGAATTGTGATAAGCATCTCTCAACCGGGAGAACTAGAAGTGACACGTGGTTGCAAAATGTTAATTAATCGACTGTAAATGTCGCCAATGTCCACCACATCACGCGATATTTATTTTAATATTCAAGGCAGGTTAAATTATAAAAATACTTACGTCCACCTTATCGAACACTCGCGCATTGAGGTGGGTAGAGAGCTGGGGGAGATGCGGCTTTTATCATCGATAGTCGAAAAATTTACGCTGATTTTATTCCGAGAGTTATCTTTAGTTTCTCCGCTGGATAATCTCCGGTTTACGAGGATAAATACTCTGATTGACACCATCTCCTCGGTCTGGTTATCACATCTCATGGCTGGTTAGTCTGAATGGGGGGAATTGTGTTTGTTTCGAGGGATCCCTGTGCTGGTGGAAATTTTTTGAAAATTGAGGGTGTATTTCAGATTAAACTCGGCTGGGAAATTCGGGATAATTGGGGTTTCCGGGTTAGATTATCAGTGATGTTTCAATGACATCTAGAATTTTCAAATTCATCGCGGAAATTTAATTTCACGTCCAACTGAATTGTCAGTAGATTCAAAATTCTGGGAAATTGTTGGTTCAAATTATTTAATAATTTTTAGTATCATGGGGACCTGAATTCATCTGATTTTTCAATAACAAAATACATGAAAATTTCGTGTGCATGAGTGATTGAAAAAATTCCTAGAAATTTCAGGGGAAATGTTACTTGTTAGAAATTTCCAATAGAAAAATCGAAATGTAGAAGACAAAAAAATTAATGAGGTTCCCCCCCCCGCGAGTCTAATTAAATTGTCTGAAATTGTTCGGAATATAATTCATCCCCGGAGGTACATACACCAATCCCCGGTAATTCACACGTACATCCGATAAAGAAACCCTTCATCCCTGAAATTGAATAAAATGTTGCGAAAAACTGGCCATTAAATACGCTTCGACGAGGCCCCACGGCTTATCGGATTTTTGAAAGAGAGCGGCCGCATTAAACCTGGCAACCGTATGTGCCTCATAAGGCGTTCATTTTAACTGCCCCGACATTGAGTTGGCTCATGCGAGGCCCGAGATATTCTTTGAGCCTGCCAATTTACACATGGACCAAGGAGGCCGCCATTGCCCTGCAAAAGTGCCTGGGAGAGAGAATTCACCACGGCGGAGGGAGTTTAAATGCAATCCGCGATAAAGGACGGCCCGACTATGCAAATAACCCTAGTAGGGCGGGACGAAAACTGGCTTCCACACGTTTTTACAGTAAAATCCTGGTATTTCCATTCTACCTCGGGGGGATTCACCATTTTTGCCGTGTCGTTCGAGGGGATATTGGCTTTTTCTGCATTAATGTGGACAGTATATTATTGAATGGATGGAGTTCTAAATCAATTACAACGTTTTTTACATTTTTCGAAATATTTTTTATGTACGGTCGGAGAATAACGCATTTAAGTCAAGTAAAACTCTTGATTTGACATTTTTTCGTTCAGTTCAACAAGATTTCTGTTTGAAATTAATACATTCGTGTGGTATTTTGAATTAAATGGATTTATTTGAAAGAAATTACTTGATACGAAAAAGTATTCTCTTGTCTTGAGGGGATATTGACTTTTTCTGCATTAATGTGGACAGTATATTATTGAATGGATGGAGTTCTAAATCAATTACGAAATTTTTTACATTTTTTTTACATTTTTCGAAATATTCTTTACGTACGGCCAGAGATTAACGCATTTAAGTCAAGTAAAACTCTTGATTTGAAATTTTTTCATTCATTTCAGCAACATTTCCGTTTAAAATTAATGAACTCGTATGTTATTTTCCAATTCAAATGAGAATTCATTATTTTATTTATTGATTATTGAAATTTTGAGATATATTCCCTTGAATTTTCTTGATTTCTATTGTTTTTCATGGAATAATAGATCTGGAATTTCGAAAAATTTTACTACGAAACTCTTTGAAATTTCAGTGTGACCGTCACTTGGTAAAAGTTTCTAAGAATTTTACCGACCAATCGTGTATTTTTCATAATTTCTTCACTTAATCAAAATATTTTTCTCTGATATTCGAGGAAAATTTGTACTACCCAACCATTTTCTTTCTCATCGCTGAGAAGGCGGGGATCCCGCTGGCAGCAGTTTATCCGCTCCCCCCCCCCCCCTCTTCCAAAANCCCGCTGGCAGCAGTTTATCCGTTCCCCCCCCCATTTTCCAAAATTATCCTGAAGTTTATCAATGTTTTTTCGTGATGGCGAGGGCCTGAATTTCACTGTCCAATTCTCATGAGCATTATTCATTTTAATGACTTTTAAGTAGTTAAAAAAGAGAAAAGATGACAGCGGAAGCTTGAAAAAATTATTTTTCTGGTTCGTGACTCCAAATTTTACGGCCATCATGAAAAATATTATTGTGCTTTCAATGCTTGAGTTGAAAAAAATAATTAAAATTCGTTATTCAAAGTTGAGGCGATATTTTCTAGAATTTTCTCACGAATCAATGTGGAAATTCAGTTGAACGTTTAATGAAGATTTTTTTCAACGATTATGTTCATTAATTTTTTTTGTGATGGCGAGGTTTTGAATTCCACTGCCCAATTCATACGAATATTATTCATTTTAATGACTTCTAAGTGTTTAAAAATAATCATAAATAAATAAATAATAAATAATGCTGTTGTTTTTTTCAGCGAATAATTTCATTTTCTCGACATGAGAGAGCACCAACAAATTAAAAATCTTGAATCGTCAATTTCTTTTTCAATGTTCTCCATCTTTTACTGATTTTCAAGACAAAATCAAATCCATTTAAATCTTATCGCTCGTTCCGCCTCGACCTTCCCTGCAATATCGGCAATATTCCAGAAAACGAAATGAAAAATGCATTTTCAACCGCAAAAAATAATAACAAATTAACGTCCTTCGAGTGGTTCTGCGGTCAATAAGCGGTTGACAGTAATTATCGACCGCAAGGCCACATAAAACACCTGATTTATCCCGGAAAAATTCCATGAACCTCTTCTTGCACAACTCCTGCTTCACTCTGAGAACACAAAATTTTTGGAAGTTAATTTCCGTTTTCGTTCTGGAATAATCTCACTGGACTCTTCAAACACACTCGCAGATGCGACACAACCCGGGAAGAAAGTCTACTGTCGGTGGAGAAAGCTCAGAGCGACGGGAGATACCTCGAGCGTTGCAATCCTTCGGAAAACCGGAAAAAACCCTTTCAGGCACTTTTACAACGGGGGCTATAAATGAGCGACTTTCTCCTAAACCCCTTTTACGCGGAGTCACGCCGTGACTTTCTCCCCGGGTCGTATATCTCAGCCAGTCGTTCCTTTGAATTTTTTTCTCGCGTCAACTCTGCGGGGGTTGCGTACCCTTTCCCGTTGTAAATTTTTCCGGTGCGCGGGGGGAGGAAATTTTTGGAAAAAAGTATTGTGGAAGGGACGCAGGAACGACGTTCTGTGACAGCAGACGTCAAGTAATCGGCGAGCGAACTCGATTTTTCAGAATTTTTTCAACCTAATTTTTTTACATTATAACTTTTTACAATGGAATGATTTTTTGACGTTTAAAAATGTAAACTCGATTTTTTATTTAAGCTAGAACTATTATTTTTACGTTTTTAAACATGAAATAAAAATGGTTCTAACTCTTTTCTTCCATTTTTTGACATGACATTTACATGAAAAAATAGAACTATTTTTTCACGTTTAAAAATATTAAAAAAACACTTCTAACGTAAATAAAAAATCGAATCGCAATAAAGATCCAGTGGCAATAAAAAATCCAATCACATTTCCCCCGATATCTTTGTTGACCAAAAATACTGCTGAAAAATTCTTCTCTTCAGAATAAAATTGAAGATGTTCACGCTCACCTGATTCTACAGTAAAAAAAAATGTCTCAAATTCATTGACTTACATTTCAAGACATTACGAAAATGTCTAGTCTCTCAAACCTCTCGTCTTCAAATTAAACAAACGTCTTCCTTTAAAATATTCGAACTTTCAGTCATCAGTTCTTAAAATTAAGCCGTCTTAAAATCCCAATTTTTTACGTTACATTTCTCTCTTTTGTTACAGATTACTGCTGCACTGCTGGACCGCCAGTCTGGCAGTCAGTCCGCCAGTCCCTGCAGAGGTGAGTTTTCCCCGAAAAATTACAATCCTAAAAATTAATGCCATCAATTAAACCATTGGCCTCAAGCCGAATTCCCCTCATCCAAATAACCCCGAGTATGATCTTCCGCTGGAACTATACGTACTGACCTCGAGTCTGGTCCGCCTCGACGCGAATCACCTGCACAGTTTCATCACTATAAAATTATCGTGAAATCCGGATAATTTGGTGCTGATGTTCTGCTCGAGAATTGCGAGCCCGAGTCATGAATTTTACTTAACGCAACAATGCCCGTAAACGTCGACATTCGATGGAATTTAGATTAATTCTCCATGTTTATGAACAAATGTAACTATTATTTATTCCGCACATGAAGCTTTTGAGGCTTTACAATTCCGTGAAATTATAGGACTGCAGAGTTACTGCGACTTGCACTCAGATATTCAAATTGAAGTGAAAATTTATGGTAATGAAGTTGTTGTATTTGTTTCTATCTAAAGTTCATTGCTGTAACAACAGGAATGATGGGCGAATTATTTGTTCAAGGAATGCCCCTAGAAAACAGGTTTCTGTTACGATTGTCCCCGCATTTTTTCCCCATTAATTTTTCAATAAAAATCATTAAGAAATCAATAGAATTTCCGGGTTAATTCGGATGGAATGCAACGAAATTTCTGTAGAAAATGATGTACTGAATAGTCGAAGAGAACTCTAAAAATTTTTTTATGTTTTGAGTAAAGGTTTAAGATCCAGTATTAACATTTCCCCCTAGAAATTCAAACATTATTTTTCCTTCAATATAAAAAATGCGCTCTTCCACCCGAATGACCGTTCAAGCAGCCGTCCGATGACTCCCGTCCCCGCAGTAAAACACGAGAGCCCTTTCTTTTACAGCCGGAAGAAAATTTTCCAGCGCTGATTGATTTCGGTAATATTCATAAAATACTATGGAAGGATCTCGTCTGCCCTCGACTAACCCTTGGAATGACTTTACAATCGGAATTTCCCTGTCACTCGCAGATGCACAAGAATATTTTTACCTCTTCGACAACCCTTACAGGAGATACTTCGGCTTTCCGGCCCGGTTTATTACTGTTTTGGGGGTGCAGTTATGAGTTAATGAACCCCCCGAAGTTTTTTCTTCCGGACGCAACAACGAGGTTCGGTTTATTGCGGCTCGGAGGCTCCCCCCGGCGAAAATTTTTCCCTGTTCAGTTGTCGAGCAACATTCCACAAAGAGTCGGTAATTACAGTTTGTTGGGGCTTCGGTGTCCGGGGGATAATGAGGTCTATATTTTGGTGGGAACCAGGGCGTAATTAATCGATGAGCACGCGAAACCACCATTTTTGTTTGTTGATCGAGTCAAGAGTGCATTTAGGGGGAAAGAATTGCTGGGGAAATTAATGAAGGCAGTCACTGCACTATTGAAAAAATTTTCAGTGACACTGAAAATGTGATTTAAGGGAAAACAATCATGAAATTTCCGGTTTCATTGAAAATTCAGGAAAATTGCAGAATTTTAAGGCCCATAAAGACGAGGATTCCTTAATTTATTTGAATTTCCAATTTAATATGAATATTCAGTGTGAAATTGCATTGAATTTTCAGGAAAATCTGAAATTTCATAGATTTTTTTTCCGCTAAATCGCGTTCAGTGTCACTGTCCTGGAAATTCAAGAATATATTCATCAGAATTTTCTGATTTTCTATTTATTTTTAGGGAAGAATTTGGCAGTGAATATTCATTTTCACTTAACAATTCACATAAATTGTGAAATTTTCGTCCTGCTGCCGCTAGAAAATTGGGACTTTACTACCATTTTCAAAAAAATTTTATATTCCATCAACTTTTTCTCCTCAAATTCTACCGAATTTCGAAAAAAACAAAAAAAAATCGTAAATTTCATAAATTTTTATGAAAATTATACATTTTCATCACTTCAAATATTCGTTTTGAATCCTTTGAATTTTGCAATTAACCCGAGAATTGGTTTTGTCGGAAAAAATTCAGAAATTGCGAGTTGAGGAAGCGGAACTCCGGCTTCAGGTTTTTAGATACTCTCGCTGCACGCTTCATAATACTCCCTGGATTTATGAATATATCGCACGTGGAAGCCGAGCGTATGTCGAAGTGCAAAAAAGGACAGAGCGTGAAATGAAGTCGAAGCTCGCATGGGGGTAATAATGTTCAGCGGTTGATGTCGCTCGCCCCAGTTTTTTCAAACTCATCCGGATTTTCTCTCGCGCGGTGCTGGAGGTCTAATAGTAACGCGCAATTCCGGTGAAATTCCTTCATCTTTACTACTTTAAGTATATATTGGAAGTATTAGTCTACTCACCAGTCCGTTATTACTCTGTTAAAAATGGAATAATAGTTTCATGGACAGTTCCGCAGTAATTTTTCTCCTCCACTGAGAGAAAAAACGACAAAGTTCTCAAACAAGTCTTAGTTGTGCCAAGAAAATAGGTTTTGAAAGTTATCAAAAAAGGATTTTTTGTGCCAAACATGCAGAGAGTGCGCCGGAATGAAAACTTTCGTTCCCCGTGCACCTGGATGCGCGAGATAAATACTGAACTGACATGTAGCACCAACACTGTATTAAGCTTTTACCCACGATCTTCGACTCACTCGAAAGCAATTCAGAAAATGCCAGACCTGTCAGATGATACGAAAGCCGTTCAAGAAACCCATAAATTACCTTCTCATGTGCCCGTTTGAGCCTTGAGAGAATGGGAGATAGTGCACGGAGAAAACGTTAATGCTCAAAAATGTTCCAAGTTCGGATATTTTTAAAGCCCACGGGATGACTCCCCACCCGGCCCGGAGGAATTTCTCTTAATTACAAAGTTGAGAATCGAATCGACTGAAACTTCCCAAGCATCGGACTTTGGTTCGATCAAAACTTCTGACGAAGTCGAACATAAATTTCGGTCATCAAGAATGTTGTTAAACTTTAAAAATTCCGTCGTGTAATGGAGAAGAAAATTTTCGCTTCAATTTAAAAATAATGTTCTTACACTGAAGTTAATTCTTCTTTAGAAGGATTGAGAAATTTCCATTAAAGCAAAAAAAAGTGGGAAATTGCTCTTGTGTTGCATATAGTGAAGTTATTTTTGCTAATAAATTAGCAATATGTTTCCGAATGGTTATTTGGCACATCATTTCCTTCTACCATGTATCATTCATTATTTATTTCATTTTATTAAAATGAATAGGATTTCTTTTCAGCTAATTTTGTCAGGTTTTCAACTTAGTTGAATGTCATTATCATCGTTATTTTTATTATCCCTTTCTTCTACACAACCGATTGTCCTTTTACGGTTCTATCTCTCCCCTCAGCCCTTCGATAAAATGTTAATAGAAAAATTTTATTTATACATACGTGAATCAATTTGAAACATCATATTTGAAGAAACCATCAGAAAGCTGACTTTCAGGGAAATTCATGAAAAATTCGAAATTTTCAACAATCATAAAAATCAAAGCAACAAATATAGCTATCTCAATCATCTTTTAACTTTGACTTAATGGCATTGAAACAAAGATATCCCCGGAATTCTGATTTTCAAAAAATTCAAAAATGAAAAAAACTAATCGAGGAAATAAATTTTAATTAATGGCGATCGATAGGGCTCAATAATACCTTCATTTGTACGTACACACATACACTTTTTGGATCATACTGGGTCGATAACACACAAAAAATCAAAAACGTGAATTTGAACGATTATTCGAAGGCAAAAACAAATGATTTCACCCGAATAAACAAAGAAAAAATTCTAAAAAAATTGGCGAAATGCTTATTTCCATGATTTTGACCATTTTCATTCGTTTTTACCAACGAAAAATCCCATTAAAAGATCCTTCATTCTCCATTCAGTCAAATCAACTACTTGGAAAAATTCTCTACTCCCCAAACCGGAAGAATTTTTTAAAATCCACATCACAATCTCTCATTAAAAAAAACTCTGCAGTATAAACTTCAATACGTGCCTCCTCGAGGGTCTCAATTTCCACTGCGAGGATATGCCATCAGATTAGTTCTACCAGGATTAGGTAAATAGATGATAAATGGTTCTGATCCAGTGGGTAGTTTGTAGTCACATCTCGTGGCACCGCAGCCTCCCATGATGGCTGACAAAGCAACCCCACCTACTCTCTCCCTTATCCCTCCCGCTTTTCCCCATTGTCCCGCCGCTGGTTCGATATTCCTATCTCCGTCGAGGTTTCCAGCGACACGAGCTGAAAGGACTGACCCAACCAAACCCTCACTAAATCTCCCTTTTCCACGTGGCGGCCATGTTGTCCCAGGGGTTGGACCACTCACCGAGCCGACGGCCCCATTGGTTGGATAGAACAACCTCACTGTCTCCCTTTCACCTACACCTTCCGCCCGGCGATCGCCCGTCTCTCTCCATCCCTTTCACCAGCTCCACTCTCAACATCCACGGCAAATCGTTCCCCTCGCGATCCACTTCCCTTCCAGCCCCCAACCCCCGCGAGCCGACCTGCCGAGGTCTCCAGTGTCACTGACACGATTCGACTTCAGAGACATCTACCGCATGTGGCCCGGTAACTGCCACTGTCCCGGTTTCTGACACCCCCAGCGATTTTTAAGGATTTCCCAGTATTCTTTACATTTTCATAATGATTTGCCAATTTAATTTGCCAATTAATTTGCGTAGAATTATTGTTTTTTTAATGCTCGTTTTTTATAAATAAATTATTGAAATTGGTTAGACTTTTGGGAACCTTATTGTTTTAATCATAAAATCGATTTTTGGTAGAATTTATCATTATGAATTTTCAGACTTGTTAAATGTTTTTCAACGGTTCAATATCGAGATTCAAATTGAAACCTCGAAAGTCTAAATAACAAACTATAAATTCGTCCGTTTTCAATCATCAAATTTACCAATTAAATTGCATGAGATAAATTTGAAAAAATCGTGAATATTTAGCGCCATTTAAATTACATTTTGCACAGAATTATCATTTTTTAAAACATTCGTTCATAAATAAATAATTATGTTGATTTAATGCGAAGAAAATCGTCTGATCCTTTGACCCTCAAAAACACAGGAAAAACCGCCTGACCCTCATGACCCTTCAAAACCCAAAAAAAACTTGCAATCCTCCAGACTCTTTTCCCAAAAAATTATTCTGCTTAATTAAAATTAATTAATTATTAAATTAAAAATTCCTCTATTTAAAATAACACTTTTACCTTATCATCTACTTTTTCCTCGAATCCCGAACTTGGTTTCTCCGAGTACTCCATTCCAGTCTTGATTTTAAATAGAACTTCCTCTTCGTGTGAACCACACCTTCGCGACCAAAAACCGAGTTAATAAAAAATTTCCGTTTTTAAAGCCACACGGTTGCAAATGCGTTTAGCACACCTCAGGTACACTAAGTGATTCCAAGTCAACAGGGTGAGCGCACACCCCAAGCAGGAAACTTTACCTCTTAATCCCTCATTAACTTTATCATCCCAATAAACCGTTTTATAACACCACATAAAGTTGACTTACCTCGCACTAAACCTTAACCTGACTAATCTTGGAGTCCCGATGATATTTCTTCGAGAGGTGAAAAAAAACTGACCAACTCTTTGACAGCTGGGGGAAAAGTGAAAAATACCCCTACCCCCGACACTTTCCCGGCTGTAAACCCTTCCGGGGGG